CCTTTGGCACAATATGTTGAAGACCATTAAGTATAAATCAAAGAGCCGAGTCAAGAATATACGTTCGACCCGTTCGTGGGTCAATTTTACCCGTCGGCAACACAAATATCCGTTCGGTGCTGATGATTCCTACACTTTTTCCAAATGCCCCCATTAATCTCGGCACCCAGGCTTAGCAGGTATATATATATATATGTATGTATATACAATACGCAAATTGAAAAAATTGAAGCCCATGGCACCCTGGCCTCGGCGTGCCAATTTCTTATTTTACTCTTCTCATGTTGTCTTCGCTGGTTTTGCTTGCGCAAAATTGAAAGAACCCAGAAACTAAGGGACTACATTTGGTACTCCAAAAGCTAGGCACATGGAAAGATCACGGCCCAGGCTTTTGCCAACTGGCGTTACGCTTGACCGAGCCCTTATTAAGCCAGCCCAGAACCTCCAACATAGGAAATTGAGCCCAAATAAGAAATTGAGCCCCTTAATTTCTTACCATGTTTTGTGGTTTTTTCGTATATGGCAAAGCCTTATTAATGCCCTTCTTAAGCCGGGCTTAAGAAGGGTCTATAGGGCCTTAAGCAGGGCTTGATCAGGCATTGTGCCACATACGAAAAAACCACCAAAATAAGAAATTGAGGGGCTCAATTTCTTATTTTGCCTCAGAACGTCGCGAAACCCGAGTGGTTTTGCGCATGTGCTAGAATGGAAGCTGCTGGTGGCTCAAATCTCTCAATCTCCCTAATTTATTTGGATTCTTTGTGGCTCATTTTGGAGCCGTCTCAATTAAGAAATTGGGTTCAGAAATCCAGCGCAGCCTCAAATCCCGAAGCGTTTTTGTACGAAGTGCGCTTCAAAATTAACAAATCGAGCCCGCCCTCACGAAAAAATAACTGTTTCTTGACCGGCCCGGTCGACAACGACCAGCACTTACTAAACCCACCACGACGAGCACTACTGCATGTTTTTTGTTTGCCTCCCGCCTGTCTAGGACGATCCTACGACTGATACGACTGTGCGTGTTGCTGCTGCTTTTTCCAGCACTACTTTGCACAGCGCTGCCGTTTCGATTCAAGATGATCCATGCACTTCCTACACACGGCAACCCAACCTAAGTTGTGGCCGAGCGGCAGGTGTCGTAACTTCCGGGCCCAGGTGTACTGGGTCGGCCTCAGGGTTGGCGCGGCAATGCCACCAAGTCAGGCGTCGATGGGCAAAGGACCCTAAACCCTAAACATCCCTAACATGCCAGATCTCATGCACATCGTAGCACTTGAACTGAAAGGCAGGCACGATTCCTTTTCCATCCTCTTCCCCAAGCAGCACTGCGTGGTCGACAGTCTCCCATGGTTCCCCAAGGGCAGCCACTCAGTGCCCGAATTAAGCGCCTGAGAGAGGCCGGAAGACGCAGGGTCACAGCAACTCCGTGCGGTTTAGAGGTACATACTGCTATTTATCTATATATATATATACATACACACACACATATATATATATATATCTACATACATACATACATACATACATACATACATACATACATACATACATACATACATACATACATACATATTATATATACATATGTACGCAGAACTTGTCAGAATGCTTGCCAAAAGCACGTGCTGCCAGCTCTTCTCGACGACCTGGGAAGCGGCTCCTCGGCTCATTGCCCTCCAGTCCCACAGCAGATCCCCGTGCACCATAAACACAAAACCCTAAACCCTACACCCTAAACCCTGAACCCTGAACCCTAAACCCTAAACCCTAAAACCTTTTTTTTTGAACCCAGACTCTCCCAATCAGCTGGGAAACAGCATTTCCAGATCACCATAAACCCTAAACCAACTTGCAGGGAGGGTATCGAACAAATTGCCATGAAATACATCCTGGCGTGGTAAATGCCATGGTTATCAACCACTCCATGCTGTCGGTCCTGCTGCCGGCATTCCAGCAAAAATGCTGCCCGCACTCAGACTTATTTAGTTTCTTTTGGCTCCCACTTGGCACTCGCTGGAGCTTAATGATGTAGTTTCAATGCGGGCCTTTGGGGCGTCAGGCCGCAGGTAGTGCAGGTAGTGAAGATCACTGAACCGAAGCCTTCAAAGCAAAGTTGGAGTGACTGCTCCGCAATACCCTGCATCAGTATCCAGTAATCTTCAGCATGGTGAATCCGTCTTGCAGCAGAGCATCTTTGGCAGCATTGGCTTTCTCGCCCTGTCTGCCTCGAGCACACCCAGGCGTCCCCGCAGCACCCTGCTTCCAGCTAATTCCCGTGTAAACAAGCCCGACCATCAATTACCAGTATCATCAGTTAAACAATCGGTGCTGAGTGCACGCAGGACTGAGCTTGAAATCTGATGGCCACTTGTTTACCCTGTCATGGACCCTGCAGGGGCGGTCTGAGTGGCCGGAGCGAGACATGTAGGAAGCAGCTCACTCGGAGGCGACTCTGTGGTTCTGAGCTGGCTGCACTGCTGGGTCCTTCTTCTCGTTTTCGATGGGCCACTTATCGTTTCATATTGGACGGTTTCAACATGTCTCCGCTGTCTTTTCTGGTGTCATCTCTCTTCTCATCCCCTTCTCTTCATCTGACAGGGCACTGATGCGGACGGTCCCGTGTAGGAGACAAAAGGCAAAGGCGATGGTGTCGGTACCGGGCTGACCTGCTCAAAAGGGGGTTCTCTGCAATCTGGACTATGGAGCGGTCTGCGGTGCAGACCATCTCGATGTAGCTCAGCTTCATTGAATCCGCCCTCCACCGGAAAACAAGCACTTCTCTACGCCACACCTTCGGCTGCAGAGTCTCGTCTTCCTGCGCAATGCCTGTCCGAGAGTTTTGAGATGTTTTGAGCATTCCAAAAATAGTTTCCCGCTTTGTCCCATTTCCTTCTTGGAAGTTGCTCCGGTTCTATCTAAGGTGCTGTGTAACACAGCACCCCTACAAGTGGGTGTACTAATGGTCGTCATCCCCATCACAACAACTCCCTAGTCAACTCGCCCACTATCGAGTCTCGTTCAGCCTGTCGGCAAGGCATTGGCGGGTGTGTGTGTGTGCGTGGTTGTAACATGCTGGAAACTGTGCATCGTGTGCAAACCGGGGCAGTGCTCTCCAAATTTAGCAGCACATGGCAAAGATACTGATTCTGAAGTATCAAATGGACGGAAAACAGTGACTGCTCGGTACCCGCGCCATTCCACACCAAATTAGTTGGGCTTGCACAAGGTTCGGTAGGCAAAGGTGCAGTCTGAGCTACACGCTTGACACTCGCAAGCTAGAACAATTGCGAGCACACTTTTGCTACAGTACTCTTCCGTTGCAAACCCTGCTGCCTTCTGATGGCTTCGCTGGCGGTTGACTCACGTCCTGCAAGGTCACGTCACGAGAGGCATGTATGCCTGCCGAGGCGAGGGCGGGTTCCTGCAAACATGTCTCTGTTGCTGCGGTGAGCTTCCGGCAGTCAGTTGTGGCATCTACAGCAGGAACACACTGAAATCAGTGAGGGTACGAAGGTACATCTCACCGATACCATGCTCTCAGGAACTGCTCACAGATAGTAACAACCTTTCTCATTGAGTTTTCCACTTTTCGCGGTTGGGCTGGAGTCACCTATCGAGCTCGAGAGCCAGAACCGGATCTGAGCTGCAAGGAGTCCCGACCTGATGCCTTCAGCCACCAATGCTCACAACAGAGCTCCACTTTTGACCACACCCTGCTCCGAGCACTTTAGACTTCATCAAGGTGGACTAAACCACCGCACTGGTTCAGCCTGATCCTCTTGAGATGCTTGACAGGTCCTGCGCAGGCAAGGCTTGTGGCGCTGCGGGCGCACCGTGACAGCTGGCCTTGGAGGGGTGCAGTGCTACCCTCCGTTGCATCAAACATCATCCGAGCCAAGGACGCTCGTGCCACAAGGAAGTGCCGCCGGCTCAGCGCTGGCCGGCTCGGAGGCAAGGAGGCCTCTCGGGATCAGTCTGCACTCTAGACACCCGAGTTTTGGCACGATGCACCGTGCCCCATCCTAGAATGAAAAGGCACCTTCCATGGTGGTCGTTCCTGGTGCGCCAGAAAGGACACTACCACCCGCACCTGAAGCGAGGAATGCTGAGAGCAACGGCGCAATCGATGACACTTCAGGCTTAAGCCTTGGGACCTGACCAGGATCCGAGAGTAGGGACATGGCCTCGAAGTTCAAAGCGCAGACGCCTCGTCGTGCTTGAGTTTCCCTTGAATCCACACCTCAATTCTCCCGACCTCGCATGAAGACACGCTTCAAGTTGTCCTGGAGGAGCGCTCTCCTTGCCATGAAGATCACAAGCTCAAGTTGGCAGGGCTTGGCTCGCATATACTTGCCTCGACTTCCATGAAACTACGAGCAAGACTTCCCTAGCCAGGGCTCTGCTTTCCTTCCTCAGAGAGCTGCCGCTTCAACTCCTCCACCTGCAGTTTTGGGCTGGGTGCAAGGCGTGCGGCACCTTCGGTGACTCTTCAAGGAGCTCCGCACATTACAAAGTGCTGGGGAGTCTTGTGGCGCTGCCGGCCTGTGACAGGAGCTGCGCGCGCTCATTTTCCATCCTCGGCAGCAGCACTTTCCAGACGACATCATCACAACTCGTCTGAAGGAGCTGCAGCCAGGCCGGGGGGCTGCTCGAAAAGCTTGGCACGGACGGCGCCCGCCGCAGCGCGCTCATGGGCAATGAGTCTCTCGCCTTACGCAAGCCGCTTCGAAGCGAAGTACGGAGGTCAAGGACGAAGCCGAGTGGCCGGATCCATGAACTCTCGAGCATTCCTGCAAAACCCCCTTTGCCAATAACGGCTTGGAGCAGAGTCACGACTGCCACTCTGCACATCTTGACGCCAGGAGGTGAAAAGGGCTGCGACCAAGCGCTGGCCCTGCTGATAGCTAGCCTCAGCATGAAGCAGTCATCAAGCTCTTCGGGGAGGTTTCCAGTCACCTGTAACTGCCTACAGCTGCAGCGTGAACTTGCCAATGACAAATCTTGCGTGACATCACCCGTGCAAACAACTTGAACAACAAAAGCAGCCCACTGCCGGAATGATGGATCTGTGTGCAGACGTGTCGCAAGCTTGTTCTGCAGTTGCCTTAGCGTGTCTCTGATGCTTGCTCAGCTTTGGCACGGTGTAGAAGCAAGGCAAACGAACCGAATGCACTGCATTCTCTGCGAGAAGTTACAACTGTGACATGCAGAAGTACAATGCAGCACGTCAAGGGCCCCCTATGTATGCTGGCTCTACTGCCCTGCAAAGCGCAACTTCTTTCTGTGTGTAGCCGGGGGGCTCCTCCTTCATCTGTACGGCGTGTGCCTGTTGCCGGACCCCGGAGCTGCAAATCGCGGCGGCGACAGGCCGCTTAGCCGTTACCAAGCCACTGCATCTGCTCACAGCGATCTTACAGGACTCTATCCCACGGTCGTCTCGAGGACGAGACACACATGCTGAAACTCAACTGAATTCATCTGAATTCCTGCAACCACGAAAACATGCTGCCTGCCAAGAGCGGAAGGCACGTTCGAAGGCCAGCCGTGCCAAGAAGTTTTGCCGGACTCGCGTCGACAGCGCGAATGACTCTTTGACCTGCAGCCAAAGGGGGCAAATGGGGTGCAAAACCTGAGCGAGTAAACAACAAGGGACGAATTATAAATCTAAACCAGTCCACCAGTTCATTAGACAAAGGCTTCAGACTCAAGTCGCACTACACTTCCTTGGCCGTTGCTGCAGAGGTCTGGCCTGCTTCTGCTTCATCTCCAGCTTCCTGGTCGTTGATTTCAAATCCAACTCCAATGCCTCGATCTTGGCCTGCAGTCACTGTGACAATAGTCAAAAGCAGACTGTGATGGCCCTTCACAGCTACAATACTGACTAGTAACTAGTAGCTGTGCGCGGTGGCAGTAGTCACTTAGTCGTGATGGTGGCTGTCTTGTTGTAACCACCCGCATGGCATGCACTCTGGTAGCTGTGACGTGTTTTGAGGCGCGAGGAGGATAGTGACAGTACTGACCAGCGAGAGCAGCGTATCACTACACTGCTCCAAGTAGATGCCTGAGCTGCTCTACTACTAGACTTTCCATTTGCGGCTGACGGCCCTACCAGTTAATACTAAAACTCTTCCTCAATTCTTAATACCCTTACGATATCACAAATCAGAACTGTTTCCATGTCACGAAGGGCCCACCCCCGCCAATGTGCTGTCTCCCCTAGAAGAGGCCCATGCCCGTGTGTAGGGCAGGGAACGTTGCACCATGGGAGTACCCAGCCTGCTGCTGGCAGGCCAGAGCCTCGGCTCGGAGCCGATGAGCTTCGAGGTCTGCCCGGAACTGGGCCTGCAACACGCGTCTACTGAGAAAGAAGATATCCGTGAACAGAAAAAGGCAATTCTGCAACAGGTGCCGGATGGAAACGCAAGCGTCTGGAATGAGACACTGCACCCAAAGGTGTAAGCAGCAAGGGCTTATCAGGATGTCACTGTGAGGATGAAGACAAGAACCCCCGAAACTGTGCGGTCTGCCTGCAGCTGTCGCTCTGACAGCATGAACTCGTGCCTGCAGCACAGCATGTGGGATGTGCGCTCCCGCGGATGCCCGCGCTCGATTGCATGGCTCCACAGTTGTGCACAGTGAAAAGGTAAGAGTGAGCTGAGAGGGGCATGTCGCCGAGCCCAGAAGAGTCTCCCTCCAGCCCACCGACACATGTCACAAGCTCATGATATCTCATCATGCTTGCATGGCATCTTTACTCAAATTGCGAGAACCGACGTGCCAGGAACCTGCAGCCAAGGCACTCTACACTGCGGCGAATGTCCCGGCAAATGTCCTCAGGCCATCTCAATGCTTTTCTTCGATGCCCTATGTCTCCCGCGCTCCCTGTGTGCATGTCTGCACATGCCAGGAAGTATGCCCCCGGCCATGCAAACATGCCTGTTACAGCCAACTGCCCGCAGTGACGATACAGCTTCCATGCCGCTCGTACATGCAAAACCTTTCACCTGCAATGGATACCATCGGGTCCTCCAATCGTCCTGAAAGCCCCACCAGGGACCAAGAGTCTGGCTGTCCCTGCACGCTGGGTACCAGGGCATCTGTTGCTGCGGACATATCTCTAGGGACGTTGTGAAACCGCTCGCCCATGCCTGGACTTTGCTCCCGGACGGCTGGCCTGAGGCAGCAAATGCTCTGTAACCGACAGGATCTGCCTGACAGCAGAGTTGAACGACAAGGAAAGAACGAACAAGACCAAGAGGCTGGGGGAAAACAAACTAGAGACAGAAGAATCATCTGCAAGAGAGGGGGAGGGGCTGACTGAGCGCCCGAGCGAGTCCCACAGTCACAGGCTTAGCATAACGCAAGCAAAGTGTGCAAATGCGATTGTGCAAGCCGTGACTACTCACAGTCCACCCATCGAATAGGGATCTCTCGCTCTCACTGTATTCCCTAGATTTGTAAAGGCCTGCCAAGCTACTTTGCAACCTTTGGACACTATACTACGTATTTAACATCTAGAGCCCAATCTCACTTCGCATCACGCTTGGTGACGATTCGTTGTCACACATACGTGTGAGTGGAGACGACATGTTTAAGGTAAGAGAGAATTTGAATCTGTTTGTGGACCTACAGTCATGTCATGTACCTTCAGCAATGGCATAACACTTGCATGTATGCGCCGTAACCATTTCTGTCTCGAGTGGTTTCAAGACACTAGCTCTCTCTGCATGTTGCAAAACCAAGTGTGTCGTCCGCGTGCAAGGGCAAGCGTTTAGATCCTCAGGGATCATACCCGCGCCCATATCCTTCTACCGAAGGGGGTGATATTTGGGGGCACGCGGCGGAAAGGGGGCCGATGCTGGCATCAGACCCGGTGCTCTGAAACCCCTCTCTTTTTCACCGTGCGCTGGTCAAAAAGTAAACTCGTATGTACTTTGCCGGTGCCGTCCCTCGCAACACCTCATCTAGTCTACGTGGGGATACTATACCAATAGTCAGACCCCTAATCTTAGCTCCAGGGAAGAACTGATGTAAGACGCTTCGCGCCGAGCGAGAGAGAGACGCACAAACTGAAACGACGAAAGTTAAAATTTATATTTTATGTACGCGCTTGATTGGCAGCCATGTTCCAGAAATCACAGCCCCGTTGCGAGTCCGCTCGGATGGAGAGTTGCACTTCAGCCCTACTTATGCTATACGTTACATATTAGAGCCTTGTATAGGTTCTGGCTGCCGCAGCTGCAAAATGAGCCTGCAGAACACAATTCTGCAGGGAACAACTCTCGTTGCAGTCGCTTCGCGACGGCGACCGGATTTTCTGCCGCACATGCCTCGTGAGTGCTGCCTAAGCCTGCAGAAGGCTCTGCTGCACAGGGAGAATGGCTCGTGCTTCATACAAATCTGCACCGCGTTTGCATGTTCAAAAGTTCAAAAGTTGAAACAAACGGAGACACGTGGACAGTCAGCACATGCTCTCCGGGATTTGCTCTGCCTGTTGAGAGATCTGAAATTATCCAAATTCACGCCCGCTTGTAGTACGAGGCCCATCTAACCTTCAAGCAACCCCTGTGTTGACGTTGACAGAAACTTGATTTTGACGTTGAGCAGTCCCCATGTGCTGACGCAGGTGCTGCCTAGCCGGAAAGGATGCACCACGACGCACCGCTACATCATGGCTCCGCCGGGAGTTTGGCTTTGTCTCCATGGCACACTGGACCCTGGCTGAAGGGAGTAATATGGGGGCCTTAATAGTTTCAATAGAGCGTGGGGGTATATTGTACCATGACTACAATAATAAGGAGCCCCCGAAATAATATTCATACGTATGTCGACCCCTATGGTAGACTGACAATATATGATTGGAAAAACTGAAAGAAAAAGAGCGCAAAATCACCATCGCAGTCTCCGTGCTGCGAAGTTCGAGGTCCAACCGGGGAGGCAGCATGTTATAGCACTTGTATACTAGTGGATATTAGAGTATATTGTATCGCATCATTATATACTGCAACGAACTACAATAAGCCATAACCTATGATAGATAGTATGCTGTCATAAGTCAGTTTCCAACACTGCCAACATGGCAGTGCATGCCTTGGTACTGTTGTCGCGCTGCAGATCCTTGTCTTCCCCACCAAATTGGACGCAGCTGAGATGCCCTCCCTCCTCCGAACGTCTTTGCAGAATGGAGGCATGGGAAGTCACCCCTTCGCAATACACAGGCACAAAAAATCACTGGGCTGCCTCTGCTGAGAATGCTTCTCCGTATTCGGAGCTGCGCAGAGCCAAGCAGAAGCAACCAACTCTCCTGAGAGGCAGGGCCTTCTCCTCATGCTGACTGTCTGACTGTGCGAGCGTTCGGATGGTCTACCGAGTTCTCGAGAAATACTTCGGGGCATTACTTCAAAATAAGGACCGGGTATTGGAATATGTCGTACTAGTAGCATTTTGGAGGGATGTGTGAGCTCGACGGTTTCACCCCGTCGAGCTCTTCGCAGTCTGCAGAAGCTCATTGGCGAAAGAAACCCTGCCTCGATCTGTGCTTTATCCTAAACGCGTACAATGTCGGCAACTTCAAGAGCAGGCTGTGCAACACTACACGTACTGGGCTTCATGTAGAAGACTTCGGGTAATCCTAAACATCCCTTGTTGCACCCGGGCAGTGGAGTAAAATCCCGAAACCACGAATGTCTTGGCTGCACAGCATATGACCCGTCGATCTCGAAGCCATTGGCTTCCAGCCCGTGGGCTCGCCTCTGCCGCATTGCAGCTTTACACTCGTTGGAGATGGAGCCTGACGATCCAACTCAACGAGGACTGGAACTCTTCCGGCATTCCCTTCGGGATAGAGAGAGCACAGTTCTTGAGCTCTCAGCTACTACGCCTGGCGGGTGTGGGCTGCTTCTTGCGCCGCAAAATGCCTGCAAAGCCGCACCATCGTGAAGAGGCCCGCCACCGGCTTGTGGTACAGTCGGGATCGTCGGAGTCGTCAAAGTCCCACTGCGTGCCTTCCGATCTTCGCGGTGCACCCCAACGCCTCAGTCGCTTGCTGACAGCGTCTGCATTGCGTCGCCGAACCGGTGGGAGGCTCTCTGAGCACTCCGACCCGCTCGACTCAGAAGCAGACTCCTGGTTTTTGACGTTTTGGCACAGCTTGGACATCTCCTCTTCGCCGAGGCAATGTACCCGCCGTATTGTGAAGTCGACCTCGATCTCATCGGTACGCAACTCCTCCACGCGCCCACCCAGCGCCGCCAGAACGGGTGCATGCGGATGGAACAAGCTCACCGCTGCGCTCCGCGACAACGGATCGAACTCGCTCTCGCATCCAAGGAGTGAGTCCAGGGCGTGGAATGACCGTGCGGGTGGGGCTACCACGGAAGCAAACTCCCGTCTGGGTGAGGCTACCAACGAAGCACCCTCCCAAGACATCTTGATGCACAAGGGATAAGCCGTGACTAACTGACAGGGTTCGGCT